AGCCAGTACAACGTTTTACAAGTTACGAAATGATTCCTCATATTATATATATACTTAATATATATCATAAACGACCGCAGAGACATTTAATTAATTGGATGTGCATGCTTGGGCGTGATTAAAAAAAATTGCGAAATAAAAAAAACAAAAAAACAATTGCGGTTTTTGTTAACACTCGATTGTATGTACCCGACGCATCGCGTGCGTGAGCGACTCACTCACCTCTTCGCGACGTCGGCAGGTGGCGCCGCCGCAGCCGCATCGCCCTTCAGCGAATCCTTGATCTGCAGACGCGCCCGCTCAATCTCTCCCACGAGCGAGCTGGTTGCCACGGCGACGGTCGCCACGTCGCCGGCGAGGCGCGCCTGCTCTGCTTGCTCCGCCGCCTCGTAGCGATGACGGTCGAACCAGACGGACTCCTGCACGAGGCAATGTGCGAGATCCATGGCAACGTGCGTGTGACGAGGTCAGAGGTCAACGACGCGAGATGTGAAAGCCGGAGAGCTTGAATGAAGCAATCTGCAAACAGAGAATGAGAGTTCAGGGATGAGAGGAAAGAGGGAGAGGATGGTGGGACGAAGCCTCGTGTCTAGCATTTGTGCCTTCGCCTCGCCATGGCAACAAGAATTCAGTAAATCTGCCTTGCGTTTGATGCAAGAATGTCTAAAGAGAGATGATGTCAAAACCACTATGACATCACGGGTATAAAATGTCACAACTTTTACGATAAAGCTTTGTGCAGATCGTGATATTTTATACTTAAATATCTATAGAATAACAACAGACTATAGGATATTGCTATTCAATAATTGATAGCTATTTGTTTTCAACAATGGGCGTCATGCAGAACCAGCTGGCAGGAATTAATCGTGCCTTCTTATCGTTCTCTGGTGAGAACAACTGTGTATTTGCTAAGTGTTTGTGGTACTTCCTCTGGTTCCTAACCCAGAAGAAACATTCTAACGAGCGCTGCTTGCACCCTCACGTCGTTAGGACTCCACGGTAATTAATTTGTGCCGCTTGTGAGATTATATCAGATCGTCTTCGATTCATTTGTACACTGCTAGCATGCCCGAGATTCGTGTTGGCAATAAGCAAGTCTACACCAACTCCATTTACTTTTGCCCATTTTAATACTGTCACGTAACCGTGTTAAAATAGTGTGACATCCATCACTAACATCTGTTGCAATTTAGAGCCTTTCAATTTTTTCTAGTGTGAAGTCCACTGTGAACTTCAGATTAAATGCAAGTGTGTAAAGATACACCTCGCCGTCACAGACCACTAAATTTTGCGTAGCAATCACCTTCGTACTCATCGTTTGTTTATCGTCCACTGGTCAACATCAAGTCAACGTCACATCGAAATACATCGCTCGAACGTCCACAGAACACCAAACAAAAAAACGCAAAACCACTGCGTAATTTGAGATGACGAATATTTTTTTTTATTACTTTACAACAGACGCGAGCGGAACACACACACGGAGAGCACGAAAACTTAGAATCGTAGCTTCTGGAAGAACCACTTGTTCTTTCCAGACTTGTAGCGTTCCGTGAACTTGGCCTTGACCTCTCCGCGCGCCTTTCTCTTCAACGCCGGGTCGCGGAACACGTCCTTGTTCACTGTCTGCTTGTCGAAGGCGAGATCGACGGAGTAGCGCGTCGGCATCATGTGGTTGTAGTTGAGGACCTTGATGAACGGCTTCACCTTCGACCGCACGGCGACCTTCTTCTTGCTCATAGACTTGGTGACCTTACGCGGGTACCTGTAACCATGACGACGACAACAGGCGAATTAACGAGTGAACGACAACGAGAGAAGATTGAACAAGATGAGACGAAGGGGAGGGTGTCAAGAATGTATTGTAGAAGGACTATGAATCATGAATACGAATTACTATCACGCAACGAACAGGATGTTGCGTTGCTCCCTTCTGGCGGAAGTCCGAAGGGAAGAACGAGGCGAGGGTTAGGAGGTTAGGGTAAGAGTTAGGGTTAAGTTTAGGGTAAGGGATAGGGTTAGCACACGCATTGGGCTCGGCTCGCATCAGATACGATTTTCGTCTGTCACGATCTTTCGATCAGCCGGGGAATAAAATCACGTCCCGAACCGTCCGCGCCAACCCTCCCACGACGACTACACCGTCCCAGCAGGGGGCGCTGCGCTCTCTCACCTGTCGATGCCGGCGATGAGGGCGTGACCGTAGCCCTTGTCCGAGCTTCCCTCGTCGTAGTTCTTCACGATGACGGCCTTGCGTCCGGCGTAGCGCCCGTTCAGCACCAGCACCACCTTACAAGACTTCATTATCTTCCCCATGGCTAAGGGTTGTTTCTACAAGGACAACGGGAAAACACCCGAGTTCAGTCGCAGCCGATCTCAAATTTTGAGGGCGATTTCTAACTAAGGTCCTCTCACTTGTACAATGTAAACCTACTCACACGTACTATTAGAGAGATTTATAATGTAGAAAAATAGAATAGGTGTTAAAATTTAAACCCCTATTCTATTTTTCTACATTTTCTTTCTATCTACATGGGTGTCGTGTTTTAATTCAAATATATATTATATATATAATATATATAATATATATATAATATATAAATACGTCGACGTATGAGAATTGAGTTATCATAAGCTATCTAAGCAACAAAATTAAATCTCCTTTCTCCCACGTCTTTCCTTCTGCCTCGGCTCGCGTCAATTTGGTTTGGCCTTATTAGTCGCTACGTTATCTACATCTGTCGACAAGCCGGGAAAAAATTCATTCACACAAAGCCGAGAGGCCCGTCCCCCCCCCCCAACCTCTTTTGAAAGTTTTAATTTGACGAGATTTGCACAGCGTGAAAACTGTACATTGGTGTAAAATAAATGCGAGCGAGCTAAGAATATCGGTTCAATGACCTGGGTCCCCGTCTTTGGGAAATTGATTTATTCCGGATCAGCGAATAACCACGTTTTTGTTTCCCTCACGTGATACCTTGGCTGAGCACAACTAAACAGTCTGCAAGCATTCGCACATCTGCTGGAATACATCGCACATCTGCACGACATTTCAAAGAGTTCGATTCCCGCAAACCCGGAATTTTTTGAACAATCGC